CAGCTGCCCAAGTGCCACTTGAATACGCTCCTTCCTCCCCACCCTCGGCTGACATAGCTTACAACACCAGAATCGACACCACTGGAGCAGTTTAACGCACCCGAATTGGAGAACACTTGAACCTGCTCCGCAATCCCACTTAAGCAGCTGCCACCACTGTCTCATTCTCTCTCAGGTCTGACTGGACGCAGCCAACACTAGCGCTGGCTTCGCAAGTCACCACTGCCACCTGGGACAGCAACTGGAATTTCTGTATACAATAAATCTCTCTCACTCTAGTGACTATTGCATTTTACCTTCAACCTGGGATTGGGGCTGATAATTGTAGTGATCTGAGTACAGCCACTACATAGACCGCTACATGTGCATTAACAGTTTGTAAGCGATCTCAGTGCCAGTTGTGATGTGTGTATTTCAGGGCTCAGTTCTTCAATCAATAATGTTTTCAATCTATGCTAATGGCTGCATGAATGAACTGGAATACGAGGAATCATGTTTGCAGACAACCTTAAAATATGGCAAACGATCGAATGTAGCAACGATGCACTGACTTTGCAAGAAGGATTTATTTTTCCACGTGCATTGTTTGAGAAATGGTTGGTGGAATTTAACAGTGTGTCGCACTGTGACTCAAAACGAGAAAGACGAACGCAAACAGCGATTTAAAAATACTTCCTAGACGGAAAGCGCACGTCGAATGTAATTGAATCAACGAATCGAGTAATCCCCATATTGTTATTTTCAGTGCCCTCCTCGCAATCTGTCAGGGTGAATAAAAGTGGAATCTGGGGTCTGTTTGCAAGTAAAATAAAATGTATACGACGCCTTTATCCGTGCGCAACCGGAATATAAATAAATGCATGGCACCCGCGGCTAAATAAGTATAAATTGATGGATAGAGCACAGAGGAGCGCAACGGAGGTCGTAAAGGGTGAAGAGTGTTTATTATGCAAATAAACACTCGACGCGTTCAACCTTTTCCATTTGAGTACAAGCTGACCCAAAGAAATCCCACGAAAAATAGTGGCCCAGGAGGCATCGGAACTGTTTCCTGCCCATCGATGATTGCTACTCACTGCGCATCAAAATAACTTGTGTGGAAGTTCCCTGAAGCCAAGAGGAATCATATTCCAAATAGATGTCCGTCACCAACTGCTTTCGCAGGAAGGTTGTCGATGCCTACTAGGACGTTATAAGAGCCAAAACAATCGATCCATTCAAATGTGAACTGAATGTACAATTAATTGAAATATACAGCTTAAGTAGAAGGCCCTACTACACCAAACTAACGATTTGCGCAGTTCTACAGGCAACGTGGATATATATTCTTTCACACCGTCCTCGATCCTTGAAACCGCCCTGGCCTTAGTCCTAGCGTCACGATAGTATTCTGCAGAGCGCCTATGCTACTAGAAACATTATAGCAACAGTTAATTTTGATTAAAATATTTTGTGAGCCATTGTTCCGTTAACAATGGAAGTATTGTTAAATCGCCGTTTGCGTTCGTCTTTCTCGTTTTGAGTCACAGTGCGACACATTGTTAAACTCCACCAACCATTTCTCAAACCATTCACGTGGAAAAATAAATCCTTCTTGCAAAGTCAGTGCATCGTTGCTACATTCGATCGTTTGCCATATTTTAAGGTTTTCTGCAAACATGATTCCCCCGCAAAGGCAACAGTTATTACCAGAAAATATACTGAATTATAAAGAAGAGTTTTCTGAGCTTTCGGCTCCACACGAGAAGCCATCGTCAGAGTAAATGAGAACACGGCAATCGTCAGTTACGGATAAATGGGGTTGGTAGGGGGGGGGAAGGATGACAATTATTGATTGGTTCCTGTCCACGCCACGTCCATTTTCACGCTATCTTATCATGTCTCCTACGTGCGTCCCTGGAGTAACGGCGTGTGACTTTGACGTGACAGCCTGCATGCTTGTAAAGGAACTGGTCTCCGGTTTCTGGTCACGGGCATGGATGGAAAAATAACAGGACGGTATATCCACATGCCTGTTTATGGAGTTAGGATCTGACACTGAGCTATACTGATACTGAATTATACTGAACTATTTTGCACGCATCGACCGGCAAGGTTTGTTCCTTGTTGTGTCTTGTGATCCTGCGCTCAGTTTCGGCCCAATTGCCAAACAAAATATGCCCAACACACAGGTGACGAAGCTTATCACGTTCCACTGCTGACACCGAGACATCAGACACACAAGCCAACACCACATTATAAAACTGGCGTTCTCCAGTGTATGCCTTGTTTAAGTTCACAAGCAGACTACCAACTCACGGCGAGTTGCCCTGAGTACGGAATAAATTACCTCATACAGCATTCTGAAATCCCTCAGATGTTGGTCGGAATTTCTTATTTGTACACCCCAGCAGCATACAGGGACTAGGACGCCTCCAGAAACACGCTAAATTCCAAGATGAGTCAATGTTTTTTGTGCTCTAACATTGATACGTATCCTAATCCAAACCCTCAAACTGCCCCTAATCTGAATCTTATCCCTACTTTTAATCCTAAACTTAACCTTAACCCTAAAAATTAACCGAAGCATAATTTATTGGAATTTAACGAAATGCCAACTATAGTACAGGTGGTTCTTGTTCTCGTGTCATCATGGGGGAGGGTATAAAAATATCTTACTCGGAAGCTATTGTGCAAGATTAAAACTAATCGAATATTTATGACCACAACAAATCACAACGTAGTCAAGAGCTGGACTAGTGCAAGTGTCATTTCGTTAATGGTTTTAAACCTGAGGTGCAGCAATACCTTGAACTGTACTTAAGATAGTCAGACAATAACTGATTTCCGTGCACACTACTTAATTTATATGTCCAATGGAAGTCCCGATCACCATAGTCCACCGACCCAGTCCCATCAAAAAACTAAATGCATCCGCGTTGTGGTAAGTTTTGAGAATTCTATTCATTATTTGCTTACAAAAAGTGAAGAAGTCGGATACTTACGATAATATTTTTCTTCTTCTAAAACTCGCATTAGTGATATGGGGCAAGAGACAGTTGTATAGTTTAAACGAGTAATTAACTCAATTCAACTTCGCCGGTCATCGTTTTGAAATAAGCGGTCGGAAGCTTTAAAATAGAGCTACTCAAGGGCACGCGTCCTCTCATTTGACTGTAACTTAAGTTTCCTCCGTTAAATTGACAGAACGCGGATTGATCCACGAGCATTTCTTTTTTACTCATCGAATGTTTAACTACGCCACTGGTTTCCCAGGGAGATCAACTCAAGTACTATTCTAGAAGCGATGTGTGGGGCTAAAGAAGATGCAAAGGATCACTTTTAACTTAACTTATCGGTCTCACCCTTCTCTATATTTTTTATTGTCCGCACAGAGACGGACACTACCACCAATACGGAAAATTAAATTTCCTCAGGTTTTCTGTTTCTCTTTGAACGGTTACATCGAAATTTCAACATTGTTGCGTTTATGATAAGTACAAGGAAGGCCGGGATGACCCTCTCTACCCCACTTGTGTCTTTGTGATCACGAGATTGACGATAAGATCTGTACGAAAGTAGCTTTTCACAAGCAATTCTTATTTTAGGAGGAAATGCGACCACTGTTTTTATGGTTTGGGGTTTTGTCCTAGGACCCACACAGAGGCCACACAACGATAAGCAATACGTCGATTAGGGGAAAGAAAGTAACAAATTCTTGTTTACTGGGCATCAGTAGCCATTTATAACCCCTCACAGATCGATGTTACAATACCTTTGAATGACAGCACAAAATTGATCTCTTCCTCCCCTTTATTAACGGACATAAGGATACACCACCGAATAAGAGGATATGTAAAAATAAGTACCATAAGATATATAAATGAGAGACAACCGGTGTTACTGCCTGGTACCTACTACCTCTTGGTGCAAACTGCCGAGAAGGGGGTGGCAGCTGCTGTCAGCTTGGTCCGGGGATAGGAAGTAATTTGCAAGGAAACGCAATTGTTTACCGAAAATTACAGATATCAGAACTTGAGCGAAATGATATCCATCTATGGAGAGCCGCATTAGCGAAGAACTGTATCTTCTGATAATAGTCTACTCTGCGCTTGGAGGGGATACCGGGTAATAATGGGACCACTTGAAGGTGAACGCGGTCTAAAATGATGCCTTCTCATCAGTCCAATGTCAACGTTAACCGTTGGACCGCCTCGTACACTATTGTCAAAATTTCGGGGTTCACCATCAAGAGATCTAGTAAATCTTTGAATTTCGAGACGTCCTCTATTATACCCCATAGTGCACGGAGACCGCAAAGTCAGCAGGGGTTGATTATTAGATTGGCCATGGTGGTGGATGTGGGGATGCGAATACTGATGGCATTGGTGGTCATGGCCTAGATAGTGCGGTCCCGATACTTGACCGTAAGTCTGTGCAGTGGGTATCCCAGTCCAGAAGGCATTGGTTCTGCCTTGTCCTTGGGACCCATAGTAAACATTTGAGTG